AAAAATATTAAAAAGTATTGTTTCTCTTACTATTGTTATCTACAATTAGTTTAACTAAATAAATACCAAATAGCAATAAAACTACAAAGTACTTGAAGCATTAGAAGACTTAATTACAGAGTTATTTATGACAAAGAGAAAAAGATTTGATTTTTAAGTACTCAGCCTTATCATTCAAGATTGTCTCTTTGATTAGATCTAGAGAAACATCAGCAACAGAGCATCATTCATTCTTTCAAGGGACAGATTGGTGAAATAAAATCAATGATTTATTTGACAACCAAAATATATTTAAACAAAATATAAAAATTGATGATATACAATTTCTTTTTCTATAAACTGTTTAAGGGCATTTTTATTTTCCTAAAGAGAGAGTTGTTTGGTAAAAACAGAATCAATTTATGAGAATTGAAAAGTTTCATGAGGGTTATTCTATTGACTATTATCATTTAAAGAATTCTGAGTGTTGAATATCCCATGGACTGACAAAAGAACAGATGTTGAAAAAGGTGCAGCCAGAGTGTTCCTAGCAGGCAAAAATGGTAAAGTTTCATCTTTTTTAACTTTGTACATGTTGCTAGGAGAGACTATTTCTTGAAGAGGGAAATCATGCTTGGAAATGTGAATGGACAGTGAAGGAGAGAATATAAGACATTCAACCAGATGGACTGATACAGTGACTGTAACAATGAACTTGAATGTGTCAGAGATTGTGAGGATGGCACAGCACAGGACACAGTTCAGATCTGTCGTTTATAAGGTCACTATGAATTGTACTCAACTTGATGGCACCAAACAACATATTATAAATATTGGGAGATACTGATTATCCAAAATGAAGATATACTCTTCCTAGAGAAAAAATAGAACTATACTACTACTTTCTTCCTCACCTTCTGTTTTTATTTCCCCCTAGGCTGTTTGATGATCATCACCATTGAGTTTGTACCTGCTATTATATTGCTCCACCTTATTTTAACATACTCCCTTTTCATATTAAAATTTGAAATTTTCCATCTTCATTTACATTTATTAATGACTTCTGGGAGGTACCTTAATCATATCCATAATGAGTTGTTAGCTTCAATTAAAAAAGGTGGCCCTTCTCTAACCTGGTTGTCCTTTTCGTGATCTTTATCCTTCAGATTTTACAGGTTACACTTAAAGTCAGGCTATCTACTTATTGTGAGAATCGATGTTTCACAGCTCCATGGACTCTGACGTTCTTTTTGGCACTGCCAATGAAATCAAACATATGATATGTGTTTTGTCGACCTATACTTACAAAATATAAACATTTTTTCCTTAGGTATTGATCACTAACAGGAAGTAGAGTAAGGAAAAGTCATATCATTCTCAGTTAGACCTAAAATGTTTGAGGGATGTATGTGTTTCAGAATTTTTTTTTAATGGAGAGAGAACATGGGTCAGCAGAAAATGAAAGAAGGAAAAGTGACATACAATATATTTTCAAAAAGATGTGAGTTGGCAGAATATTTTAAAACATTCAGATTCTGTTACACTATTAATCATAGCGACCTTGGAGTTGATAAACGTTAATAAAATCCTCTCCCTAGAATGCTGAATATCCAAATGTCTGCCGCAAGATTTAGACAATCTAAATATACGAAGCTGCAGGATAAATGTATTGCCCTTGAAGTGAGTGATAGAAATCACTCACACACAGTATATCAAAACCTGCTATTAACTGAGAGGACAGTTATGAAAGCATAAGTAAATGGATAATTCAAATTAAGGTAAGTATGTCCATTTACTATATGGCATGTTCCCTTTCATACTCGTTACTAGTCTCTCTGAGGAAGCATCTACCTTCTATTGCATAATAAAAGAATAGCTGGGGAAGGCATTTTTTGTGAGGAGTAAGGCACTGTGGTAACTTAAACTATTTATGAGAACTATATGGTTCCATCTAAAATTGTAGTTTGACAGATCTGCATTAAGATATAATCACAGTGGTTGTCAAAATTACATTTTTATAACATGGAGAGAAATTCTATGTGATTGTTGTAGAAGAAAATGATTCTAAAAAGCTAATTGGAGTACAATGAAGTAGCAGTACATAGTTTAATAAATACAACAATTTGGTGAGAAAAACAAAAGAATAAAAATAATAATAATAAACTAAATATGTCTAAAAATTAAGATTATTAAAGTTCATCAATTATCACAAGGAGAGGAACAAAGTTAAATGTGAATAATCATGATAGAAATTGGGAAATATATGCAGAATTATACTTTTAATAGAAAACATTGTAATGGATTACTTAAATATATGTTGAAATATGAATTTAAAAAAAAGAAATGAATTATTACAAAAATTATCAAGTGGAAAGAAATGTTTTGTCTTAATAAATTTAAGATATATTTGTAAGAAAATATACCTCGCATATTTCTTGCTCTAAGATGTTATTTTGTTATTAAAAGAAAATGCAGCATTAATAAGAGTAATTGCTTTAAACTTAAAAGTCTGATGTTATATAAGAAATTGAAGGGTATTTCCTATAATATTCTGAGTTTAAAGTTTACAACAAACTTATTACTTATATACTTTTAGGGAAAATGGCAATAAGCACAGAAGAGAGAATATAGATTAAAAATAGCATTTAATGAGTCAAAATTACTCATTTTTCTAAATATATTATTAAAAAATTTTAAGAGCTTATTTGTTAGGAACAGTTAACTGATGTCTCTCAAGTAGTCTGCAACTGGTTTTACAAAAGCAAAAAAAAAAACACCCAAAAAACAAAACCCAGAAGCAGGCTGTGAATGCATGAACTGGGCAGAAGGGAACTTGTACAGAATTCTGACTTAGATAAGCAGTATTGACTATGATGTTGATGTGAATTTCTGAAAAGCTGCACAGCTTTTTGTTTACTTCTTTGGCTTTCCTGGGTCAATGAAACATAACGTCCCCCTGTCCCACGATATTTTAACAGCTTTACTTCTATTCTTTTATACACTTTCAACACCTGTCTCCTGTTCTGGCTTTTTCTTTTGTCATGGAGTACAAGGTGATCCTGTTCCAGGGACTTACTGGTGGGGGTCCCAGAGGGTCCCTGCTGGGAATGGCACTTTGGATTGGACACTTTCAAGACAACCAAATGCATAGAGTTTTGGAAAATTGAGGTTAGGGCTTCAGTGAGTGATGGCACTTGTCCAGCTCAATTACACATGGGATAGCAAGATTTTAAAAATAAAAGTGACAGTGCACATTAACATTCTCAATCTTTGACTCAAATCACAGGAAACACCCCAGTAGGAATACTATAGAAACACAAACACATAAATATTTTGATCCTTGAACGATGCTAATTTGTTACCTTTTTGTAAATTAATGATTTAGTCTAAATATTTAAATACTTAAATTCAGGAAGATGGTATAGATTGCTATCATTGGTAATTTTATTCTAGTCTGAGCAGGAAACCATTTCTATGTGACTTGAGTATTTATGTGAGGTATAAGCCGTTATTATTGATTTGTCTCCTGTATTACAGAGGTGCTCTCCATTTCTTTCATCTTGCATGTTGTTGTACGCTGCTGAGTTTATTCCAACTCCCAAGGAGTCTACAGGACAGAACCCCCTGTAGAGTGTTCTAGGTTATAATCTTCCAGGAGCAGGTTTCCATGTCTTTCTTTCCTGGAGGCCTTGTTGGATTTGAACCACACGCCTTCTGATTAGCAGACATGTGCTTAATCACTGTTAAGCCACTAGGGTTTATTTATCTTGCAAGAAAAAGGTTTTGTGCTCTTTTTTTTTTCTTCTTCCATGTATTACTCCGTATATTTGAAGGCACTCTTGCTTGATGACAAAACTGATTTCTTTCTTCTCTGAAAATATACTTGGTATCTGAATGTCAATCTTTCAGGTGATGTAATAAATTGAGTTTTCTAACCCTTAACAGAGTGTAGGGGAGAAACATGTCCATTTGGCTAGCAAATGCATGGAATTTAATTTCAATAGAGACGTACCTTTGAGCTGATAAGACTGGTTATCTGTCTGACCTGGAGCCTGTGCAAAATCCTGTGTGAGAGAAGAAAAGAGTTTATATCAGTGCTGTCAACAGAGCAACTCACTAAAGATGGTTCTGAAATGCATATAATTTTGAGGCATACCCTTTGCAAAATTTTTCATATGATGACTTTGGAGCACAAACACAAATACTAGGAAATGTCTATTACATAGGATGTCCTGGGTTTTCTCCCCTTATTTATTATTATTATACTAGTTTATTTACAAAATTAAAATACATTATTTTCCAGAATAGATTCTTTTAAAAATATTTTTATTGGTTTTCATATCCTAATTCTTTTACATTATGTTTCATTCATATACATTGTGTTTTACACAAATCTTTCATTTACACTGTGTTTCATACAATCAGTCTGTTCTAGTTTTAATAAATTTAAGTCCAATCGTAATGACTATTGTTGTTGTCGTTGTTATGTGCCATTGAGTTGTCTGCAAACCATAGCGACATTAATGTACAGCAGTTCTGAACCCTGCCCTATCCTGAGCCAGTCTCACTAATTCCAACACAGCAACCCCCACTGCCCCAGTTACTGTATCAGTGCATTTCATTTGGGGTTTTCCTCTCCCATGCTGTCTTAGATCTTCTTAAATGCCACTAGGGGCCAGGTGGCTGTCTACCATGGAAGCAACAAGAAATGAAAAACTATACTCAAATTTACTTTTTTAAAATAGTGATAGATTTCTTTTAAAAAAATCATTTTTAAAAGTTGCAACCATAAATGCATTTATGAATTTTGAAGCAAAATTTTGAGGTCTGGAAATTTTACTTTTAGCTATAAAATGAAAAATGTGGAATATTTAATATATAAATCTTCAGGAACCTCTGACAAACCAGCAGCTTCTATTTTAATATATAACTTTTCAATTTGTACTAATAATCCCACACATAGGGACCTTTTAAAAACCAAATCCTGCTATACATGGTCATCAGCATAATTACTTATGGAAAAAAATCATTGATTTCATTACTCTTAATATGAACACAAACATGCATATATGAAATCTTTCTAGTATTATAGATTTTGTGTTACATATATAAACAAAGGGAGATTTAGAAGTGTATTGTGATCAGTATCAGAAGAAAGCAAAACATATCTATGAGCTTTACTTTAGAGTCTGATATAATTCACATTTTCATAAATGGTTTTCCAAGCTGCTCCAGATAAAACACTGTCTTTGCTCATACATTACTGCTTCAGCTTACGCTACATAAACTGCACATCCCCTCCCCACTCCTGACAGACCCTTTCTCTTCTCCCCAGGCACTGGTCACTATTGGACACATTACTGTCTTTCCTTGTTTTCTGGTTTGATTCCTCTAATTCCATGAGTCAAAGATTTACTCAATGGCACTGGACAACTTTAACAAAGGATCCAAAAGACAGGCAATTTTGGTCTATGTATCTCTAGGAAGAAGCCCTGATGGTCCAGCAGTCAAAGTACTTTGACTATTAACCAAAAGGTTAGCAGTTCCAAACACCAGCCATTCGGCAGGAGAAAAATCTGTGGCAATCTACATCTGTAAAGATTTCTAGTCTTGCATCCTAGAGGGCTTGAGTCGGACTCAACCGCAGTGGGTTTAGGTTTTGCTTTGGGATTCTCAGTGCCCAGGGCATGCCTTGTACCCTGCAGGAACTAAAAAATTTCCTGCTGAATGGCAGAATGTACCACCTGAATTTTACAGAATCCCAGTTCTAAAATTCTGAACAGTGTATTTTCTAGTACAATTTAATTCTAAGTATCTAAGAATTTTTGAAGAAAATTAAATATGATAGTTATACTAGGAAGCTTTATTAAGGCTTACATTTAACCAGAAGACATTTTTGGAAAATCACTACCCTACTTACAGATGACTATATGACTTAAGAATTGGTTTCAGAAAATGGAACCCGGACTCAAAGAGAATTACCAAAGAGAAAATAAGCCCTTTCTAAACCTAACTGATCTTGCTTACTACCTGAACATCTAATAGAGGACACTGTAAAACATGTGGACCACTGACTGGGGTCTAAAGTAAAGAGGGCCTGGGAGAAACTTTCCATGGGTCTAAACCATCTAAATGTGATCACACCCATAAAACGTTACATGTGTATGAACCAGAGGAAGGAACAATACTAACAGAGAGCTTTGCTTTCTGTTTCATTATCATGAAGAACAGAAAGCACTGTCTGCTAATCACGTGTATGCCACGGAGCCAAAGCGGTGAACAATTTGAAAGAAAATGGTCTACTTTTCAGCAAATAATTATCTACAGCACAAAAGCACAAAACAAAACAAAAAACCTTCCAAACCCCCACAGGATTAGTTAGCAAATGTTAAAAAAGAACAGGCATTTCAGTTTTGTTAGTTGATATAGTTATTTTAGATGTGGAAGTCTGTTTTGTTATAGCATAAATTCTGATTTGAGTCCTACAGAATTTAACTGGATCCAAAAAGATATAAGGCTGGCATGTATTAAAAAAATGTTTACTTATAAATTTATAAATTACCAGGTCTTCTCCAGGTTAATAGTATTGCTAATGGTAGCAATTACTATTCCCTTTAGCTAGACTAAAAAGAAAATGAATGCAGTAGCTAAAACATATATTTAGAAATCATACTTATGAAAAATTACAGAATGAATTGAAGATTTAACTGAACTATCTTCAGCAATTTTATCTATTCTCTTTAATGAGACTGAATACAACAGTTATTTAAGACTTAACAAAGCCTGGCAGCCTGAGTGCAGGTTTACCATTTTGTTAACTGGAAATGATCTTTTGTTAAAAAGCTGACACTTTCAGGTAGAAATCATACAACACTAAGTTCAAGTCTATCCTGATATTTTAGAAACATATTTTTTTCCAAGAAGTTATGTGTCACTTATAAAAGGTGGTGTGGGGAGAACTAAGAAATAGCAGTTTACTTTTACTTTTCAATCACATTAGCTTTTTCATAAATCCAGGATGTCAGGCCTAAAGGTAAAGGTACCTGAATAAATGTGGCCAGTAAGACACAGCTCATCTCCTGCTCCAGAATGATCTTGTTCTGACGGTTGTTGTAACAAGCAGCGATAAGTGAAGGGAACAGCACTTTGATCAGTCGTGGGTCGCTGAAATACTGGAAAGGCAGCTGGCAAAGCTTCTGCAGTACTGTGGGGTGGCGGCCAGACTGCACGATTACCTGAAAGAGAGGAGGGGCCCCAGGTCAGCTGCCAGAAGGCCAGGGCTACCCTGGTCCTGTCGGCTGGAAACCTGGAGAACGTACTGAAGGAGTGCAAATAAAGATTCCTAATTCTTTAACTTATATGTCATTGGAAAAGAGAGAAAATAAAAAAGACATTACATTTATAACTTAAGGAAAAGATTACAAACGTTCTTTAGCCATTTAATAAGTGTCCCGTCATTAAAATGGCAAAGATCTCACACACAAGGAATACAATCTTCTGTGGCCCTGTCTACTCTTCCTCTAACCCAGCTCACTGAATTAACTCAGTGCATGCCGGTCTGTCTATCCTGTATAGCCTTGCACAGAAAAGGGGATTGTAGGGGAAATGGAAACAGTTCCAGCAAGTACACCCTTTAAAGATCCTTCCTCCGATCCACACTCCTTATCTGGGTTTCCGTCAGTGCCACTGAGTCTAAAAGGAGAATTGTTTAGATAAATGAGACTGTTGTCTTGAAGCAGTCTAGGTTTACAACTGTGTACATTTTAAGAAATGAGGCAATGCAATTAATGGGCCTGCAGTGAAGCCTTCCTAATTTACTTGCTAGGCCTTCATGATGGACTAGAAATGCCACAATCTGATCTGTTTCAAGTAACCTTGATTAGACCATTCGAATATGAAAGAGCTAGGTGCTCAAAGCCCACTTTCTGGTCCTGGAGGAAGCTCCTTGAAGGTTAAGGACACTGTAAAACCCAAGGTCAGGACTGTAAATGGTACTTCGAAAAACACAATTTTACAGGTACACACCCAGACAGAACGGCATTCAAATTAAAACCAGAGGGCAGCATGAAACAGCAGAGGCAGGCGAAACATAAATTACAGGGATTTACAAGTTTTCAAAGTACTTTTAACAATACTTTGAGAACACACTCTCAGATGATAATGCAGTTTGGTTTAAGAACTGAATCAACAAAGTAATAGTTCACATATTTTAGTTCAATAGCTAAAATGACATCAAAAACCTTTAGAGAATGTTGATAGGGACTTGTTAATACCTTCAAATCCAGAAGGAATTTTAAAGACTAATACTCTGTGACAATCCAGCACATGGCAGTGTGCTGCCATTTCTGACACTGGCTGAGAAAAATATGCTCCATCATCTACTTTATTGATAAAGCATTTACTTAAATCTTTATTTTAATTATTAGCTACAGATTCTGTAACCCGGCCAAATGGTTGCCACTTTAGAATTTATAATGATACCATTATTAGAAGTCTTTTTCCCCCCTCTTTGGATAAAAATTAAGAACAAATTTGTCCTTGGAACTTGGTTGTTAAAATGCTATTACTGGGAGACTCATTAATTGAAAAGCTATTACACTGGCCAGTCTGGCTGGCACTGACCGTGTTAGCGCAAAGACAACAACTCCTGATTCCTGGTGAATGAGCTGAGGACATGAGAACTTACCTGGATTCGCTCCACCTGGGCTCCTGAACTTCACTGTGGGTCAGCCCACTTAAAGGATGGAGCTTTACAGAGATCACCATGAGTGTAGTCCAGTGACTTGTCAGAGTTCATTACATAGAAATCCCTGGACTGTGCATGTCACAAATGGACGTAGGAAGTTAGACAACCGTGGGGTAGAGTGTTCTATTCATTAGACCCCCTATGGTGGCACTTAGCCTGGCTACAGCTAAGGGGACCATGAGGAGAGGTGAGAGCCACAACCTCCTGGCTTGGCAAAGAGCCAGAAGGAGATAGGCTGGTCGGCACTGCCCTCAAACCACATTTTAGGCACTGTAGAGAGATGGGGTCAGGTCTTGCAAGGAACCAACTTGCATTGCTGGGTAATTCAGGGGGGTTTGTGGCACAAAGTTGTGCCATCTCTGTATCATGCGCACAGCTAAATAGGCAGTTAAGGACCTCTTCTCAGCAAGGACAACACAGGGATGCAAATAGCCTGACTAGCTGGGCAGGGCCTTCGGTGCTGGGAGAGGCTCCCGACGGGGAAGACTGAATTTTATGTCAGCAGGCACACTTAGGCCACAGAGTTGTCAAGTCTTTTCTGATTGATTGCTCAACCTTTTTTAAAAAAATTTTTTTTTCCTCTTTCTGCTCAGACCTTTTAAAGTCAGTAAAAAGTCATTATGGGATAACAATCTTTCTTTAAAAAAATGTCATCTAGAAAAACTCAGATTTATAAAACAGGGTTCTTGATTTGCTTTCTTCCTACTTAGAAGACCACAGAGTTATAACGAAGTCAATTACCTTTGCCCAGACAGAGGACTTCCACCTGGTCCTAAGGTAGGTACTGTGGTGTTCCGAGCCTGGCCACCTGCCCACCTTCGGGGATATAGGTTAGCACAAACAAGGGGTGTCCTAAAGAGCTCCTTCTAGACACAGGAGACAGAGTAGCCTGGCTGTAAATTTCTTTGGTGGTCAATGCCATTACTAAGAGACAGCAAGCAGAGTGGCTACGGTTCTGTCTCTCAAATGCAACTTCCACTTTCAGGTGCAAAGCAAGGCTCCAAGAAGACAAAGGGGATTTTAAGGATTCAAATCAATAGCGACTGGAATTGGGCATTCTGCTTGCTCTGAGGCAATCTTGGGTTCAATTCTAACATCTCAAAAACCTCAAAACTCATTGCCGTCAAGTTGGATCCAACTTATTGGTGACCCTCCAGTGGGTTTTCTGAGGCTGTAAATTATAAGGAGATTCATCTTCCTCTGGAACAGCTGCTGTTGGATTAGAACTGCCAGAGAGGCACTGGCTTTGGATTAGCGGTGGACTCCCCTACACACTATGCCCCCAGAGTTTGCTTTTATTAGTACAAACTAAAGAGCTAGAAGATTTGAGTTCCTGCTTTCATCAATGAGCTTTGCGGACTTGGGCAAACTGCTAATTACTCTGGGATCTTTAATGGTACATTTTTAAAAGTAAATTATTTTATTGCATACATATCCATACACACACGGTTGAGTAGCTCAAAGGACATTTAAAAAGTGGATATATCTCAGTCAACATACTCAGTCAAGAGTATGTTCAAGGGTGTCAGATCATGTTTCCCACAAGGTTAAGACTCCTTTGTGTTGAATTTGAGAAATGCTACACTGACACTATGTGATTGCATTAGAACAAAAGAGAGGGTAACTGCAGCACTTCTTGGAGCCAATCTTGACCACTGTGGAGGGAGGGCTGCACAAGTCTGCGGTCATCTGAGTAGAGGACAATGGATGTAATTCCACAGTCACTGAAATATCACTGCATCTTTTTATTTAGTAGGACACGGAATAGGAGGAGGGAGGGAGGAAGTGGTCACACGAAGCAAGCCTGGTCCATTATGCTCTGTATGTAGGTGACAGTGGACCCTGGGATCACTCGCGTTTGTGGTTCTATCTGTAACTTGGGGAAGAGGATAATTTAGAACACAGTAAGTTATATGTTGGCAATGTATATTATGGCCTGGGGAGAGTAGGAAGATCTAAACACTGAGATAAAAGAGGACAAGAAAAAGAAATGAAATCTGGAGCAGATAAGCAGACACGCTGGTTCCTTTATTTGCTGCTCCCTGGCTACCCACTAGCTATGCCTGGTGGTCTTAGTTTTGTATTCCATACCAAATGAAGTATACCCTGGGTTCACCAAGAGAAAGACAGCCAGAGGAGAGAGCTCTATATTCAGCAGACAAATACTAAATGCCTCCCTTGCCAAGTGCTTTATTAAGCACTACAGGAACATAGAGAGGAATCAGGACAACCTCCTCCAGCCACCTTCACATGTGGGTACAATACTTTAGCTATTAAGGCGATGAACTATGCAAGAAATGAGAATACAAGGAGTGGGGCCCTGAGAGAAGGAATCTAGGGAGGGAGCGACTGCGTCTCTCTAAGGTGAAGTGCAGTGCTGCACTGAGATGGGTTGGCTGGAAGCTGGAAGACTGCCTCAGATCTGGGAACCTGGAAGGTGTAGGAGGAGAAAAGCAGCAGCTTATAGATTCTATGCCAGTCCTAACTTAGTCCTTCCTACCTCCTCACCCCCAGCTACAAGGACATTCCACTAAAAAGGGTCCCCTTGCTAACCAGGTATTTCCAGAGTGAGTGGGTTTTCCCAGGTCAATCATCTCTAGCAGCCTTAAGCCAGGAGGATTGCAGGCTCGAGGATGCTGATGTTAGGCGGCCTGGGCTCTAGATCTGCTTAGCTCCTGATGTTGTGATCTTTTAACCAGTATGAGCAGCAGAATCCTTTCTAAAAAACAGCATAGATGGCAACCTTTAGGGTTTTGAGGAGAAGCCAGTGAGACAGGGAGACCCCGGACAAGATGATGTCAGTGATGAGTGTTTAGTTAGCTCTCCTGGAGGTTCAAACAGTTAGGCACCCGGCTGTTAACTCAGAGGCTGGCAGTCTACAGGAGGAGGGCCTGCTTTCATAGGGGTTACAGCTAAGCATATCTTATCAGCAGTTAACTCTGTCACATGGGGTTGTGATGAGTTGAATTCAACTTGACGGCACCCAATAACAGTTGGTTCCCAGCTACTTCTGCTGGCTTTGCACCCTTGAAAGATCAGAAGCTTTCTCCTGGCATGAAGCCTAATTAGTGTCTTCCACCATCCATCCCCATCCCCAGGGCTGATACTAGATGATCATCATCTAGATCATCTTCAAGCTTCGGCCGCTTGGGAAACCACTGCGGTGGCCTCTCCCCGGCCTGCCAGCATAGGCATAGGAGGGAGCTATGCAAACAGTGTGGGGATGCCAGCCAGGATCCTGTGGTGGCAGGGGAGGAAATACATTCTGACAGCTCTGAAAAGAAAATCCCAGTGTGAGCATGATCCAAGAAACACAGGTAAGTGGCACAGAGAAGTTTTGGCGCGCGCGCGCGCGCGTGTGTGTGTGTGTGTGTGTGTGTGGCTGTTGTGCTAGATCTGTCAGTGTGGAAATGGGGCAGGAAAGGCCAGAGCTAATAGGCTGGTGGTGGGGGTTCTTGATTCAGAGTCAGAACAAACTTCTCAAATTAC